AGCTGGTCCAGCTCCGCGTTGACGAGGCGGTCAATCTCGAGGCGCGCCTTGACCTCCCACTCGCGGCGCAAGCTGGCGTCAATCTCCTGGCGCAGCAGCGCCTTGTCGGACTCGGCCTTGCGCTCGAGCTCGCGCGCTCGCTTGTTGAGCTGCTCTTCTTTGGACTTGATCGTCTTGCTGAGCTCGACAACCTCCTTCTCCTTGCGCATCAGGCGCACGACGGGCAGGTTGAGCAGCTGCGCCGTGTCCGGGCGGCGGTCGGGATTGACCTTGAGGCAGTCGCGCACGACGGCGCACAGCTCGGGCGAGTAGACGACGGGCAGCGGCGCCAGCTTGCCCTCCTTGATCTTCTGGACGAGCTGGTAGTGCGACTTGGCATTGAAGGGCGGCTCCCGCGCGCAGAGCTCGTAGATGATGCAGCCGAGCGACCAGATGTCCGACTTGAGCGTGTACTTTTCGGCGGCGCAGATCTCGGGCGACATGTAAAAGGGCGTGCCGACATAGGTCGAGGCAAAGTCATGTGACTGGATCATCTTGGCGAGGCCAAAGTCGCCGAGCTTGACCGAGTTGTCCTCGCCCAAAAAGACGTTTTCCGGCTTGAGATCGCGGTGCAGGATCGTGACGCCGCCTGTCGGCACCTTGGGCTTGGCCGCCACGCCGAGGCCCAGCACGTTCTTGCCGACGTCGGGCGGGTCGACGCCGTAGTGGCAGCGGTACAGCGCGGTGACGAGCTGTGCAAAGATGCTCCACACAAACGACTCCTCGGCGTACTGGTTGCGGTGGGCCAAGTCGCGGATCACGCGGCCGAGGTCGCCGTTGCCGCAGTACTCCATGTACAGGTGCAGATCCTGCGTGGCCTTGAGGTGCTCGCGGTGGTAGTAGCCGACAATGTTGGCGTGCCGCAGCGTCGAGAGGATCTGGAACTCGGCGTGCAGCTGCTCACGCTCCTTCTGGGACATCTTGAGGTAGCTGATCTCTTTGCGGCACAGCACCATGCCGTCAGCCTTGCGGCGCACCTTTCGGATGATGCCAAACGAGCCATGGCCTGTGAGGGAGAGGAGAGGTTAGAGCGAGAGTTTTTGTGAGTCTTGCGGCACCGTGTGGACGTCGTGTGGTATGCCAAACGACCAGAACGCACCTATCTTCTCCAGCACATCGTATTTCAGCTCGCTCTCCGCCATGTTGGCATGGAGTGACTGGATGCCGGGGGAGAGTTGGAAGAGGGAGAGTTTTGAGGATCGATTTGAGGCGGAGGAAGAACAAAGAAAGAAGAACCGGCGGAAGCAGCGTGGATGGAAGGAAGCAACGACCGGGCGCTGCGGTTGGCGGAAGGAGTGCGGTCGCAGCTGCTGCCAACGTCTGTCGGGACAATCCGCCGCGTCTCAAGGAAAGGTCGACGTCGTCGGTGGCGCTGTTGACATCGACCACGACCACGATCACGACCACGACGACAAAGTCAATCAATGACCGTGCCGATGCTGCTGAAAAGGTTAGTAGAGACAAAAGGCCCGGTGCCTTGGTGCTTGTTGTCGTGCAATAAACCGCAAAGAGAGAAGATGCTGGATCGTCGGGATATTCAAGAACAACAACAAAAGAGGCGGAACACGGCTCAGGCACAAAAACGGCGGGAGTCTCGTTTCAGTCGGTTGCCGAGCTTGTCGTGCACGGAAGCCTCCCAGACGACCCCCCGACCCACTGCTGAGTGAGATGTTTACAGTGTGGAGTCGGTTTCCACGGCAACTAGTCACGTGTCTCCTATGTCGTGATATATCACGTGGGTTTGCTGATCTCGGACTTAACAGTAGACGACATTTGTAGTGAACCCATCGCAGCTGCCCGTGGCGGGGATCCTAGTGGGGCGATTTCCGTCAATCGCCAACGACCGCGGGCAAGTGCTCTGAGGCGCTGTTGCCTCATCTGTGCTTGTCCGGTTCGTTTCGCGACCGGTGCGGCAGGAGTTCAGTGGCAGCTGCCCTCTCTCGTTTTTGTGCATTTTGGGGTTTGTTTATATACATGCGTACATATTTGCTTCATTTTGTTTCTTTACTCAGGGAGCTTAGACGGTTGGTTTTTGGTACTTTTTAGAGCTGCACTATTACGTCGTTCAGGCATCTCCATCGCGCAGTTCACTGCCTCATTTGGCATCCAGATAGCCATAAAGTCGACAGCACACGACAAGAGCCGACGAGATACAAAGATACAAAAGAAAAACAACGAATTGGGCGACACGTACGACGTTCGAGACGATGGCGATGCCCAAGGGCCAGCTGGAGGCGAAGCTCAAGGAGGAGCACGACATGATCAACCGCGGGGTGCTGCGCGAGGAGAACCCGCTGGATCTCACAGAAGACTTCGGCAAGTTTCTCGAGGCCTGCCGACGAGGCGATCTCAAGACGTGCCAGAACTACATCTTGGGCGGTGTCAACATCAACGGCAAAGACGAGTTTGATTACACGCCTCTCATTATTGTGAGTGTAGGGGATGAATCCGAGACCGCACGATGAACGCACGATGAACGCACGATGAACGCACGATGAACACACGACAAATGCATGACAGAACGCCTGCTGACCGTCGCAGGCAAGTTTGTGCGGACACTATGAAGTGGCCCAGCTGCTGCTCGAATCCGGCGCGTTGGCGGAGCGCAACACGTTCCAGGGCGAGCGCTGTCTGTACAACGCCCTCAACGACCGCATCCGCAACCTGCTGCTGCAGTATGACTTTTCCAAGTCGGCCGACCCGCTGCAGCCCTGGTCGTCGCACATCACATCGCTGCTCTCGCGGCGCGAGCCCAAGACGTCCGACATTACGCTGACGGCCAGCGCGGCGCCGGGTCTGACGGCCGAGGAGTTCCAGCTGCACAAGTTCTTCCTGGCCGCCCGCACGCCGTATTTCCACCGAAAGCTGACGGAGGCACCCGACCTGGCCACCTGGAAGATGTCGAATCACGTCGCGGCCGAGGCGTTCCGCATCGTCCTGCACTATCTGTACCTGGACGACCTGACGCCGCACACGGCCGCCCTGTCCGACGAGGAGGAGCTGTTCCGCAGCATCGACAAGATCACGAAGCAGCTGGAGGTGGAGCAGCTGTGGGAGGCCATGCTGGCCGGCAACGACCGGCGGCTGGCACGGCAGCGGTACGAGGACGAGGTCGAGCGGGCACAGCAGCAGATCGAGGCCTTCTTCCGACGGCACGTCATGGGCAACAAGATGGTCGTCGAGACGAGCAAGGTCAACGACGTCAAGTGGCCGCACGACAACTTCATCTTTGCGGACTGCTTGCTGTGCGCGGACGAAGCGACAGACGAGACGGATGCGCCGGACGACGCAAATGACGACACCATGAACGCGCCGGAGCGGACAAACAGCATCCCGATCGGCCCGGCGGCGAGCAGTGCATCGGCGGCACCAAGAACACAAGAGACGGGCGCGTCATTGTCCTCATCCACGTCAGCATCAGCACCAGTGTCAAAAACAAACGGAGAGCGGCCGTCGCGGAAGCCCCGCCGTTCCATTTTGTATCCTGCGCACAAGGCCCTGCTCGTGCGTGCCGACTACTTTGCGACCATGTTTTCCAGTGCGTTCCTCGAAGCGCAGGCTTCCGAGCACCTGCGCATCATCAAGATGGACTGTGCGCCCGAGGTTCTCGAGATTGTCCTGTCGTTCTTGTACACGGAGCAGGCAGACATCCCGCTGGAACTGGCACTGGACGTGCTGTACATGGCCGACATGCTGTTCCTGGAAAAGCTCAAGACGAAGGCGGCTGTTATCATCAGCACCCTCGGCAGCGGCAACCGGTTCGCGATGAACGACCCGACGCACCAAGAGGAATCGGCCTCGGCCGCGACGTCGAATGGACAAAACGGCCAGGGTGGCGCCGGCGGTGTCGGGGACTCTGGCGACTTCAACGTGTTTGAAGTTCTGCGCGCGGCGTGGGACCTCAAGGTGCAGCGACTGGAAGAGTTTGCGGCGCGGTTCCTGGCGGCGCGACTGGAGCACTACATTGACGAGGAGGTGTTTGCAGACTTTGTGCTGGAAAGTGCAAATCGGCTGAAGACGCGGCAGCAGACGGACACGATCGAGCTGCTTGACGACATTCGGTATTTCCTGTCAGAGCGGTTCCGGCTACGGTTCGAGGAGATGGCCTTGTCCGACATAGAAGACGACGGTGTCGAGGAAGCGGCCGCCAATGGAGACGATGGTGGCGGTGGTGGTGATGCTGGGGCGACCGCGGAAGACGACAGTGCTGCTGCCCAAGCGGCTGCAAACGGCGTCATTCGCACACTCGACGGCAAAGAGGTTGAGGACGAATTTGACTCGGATGCTCTCAACTACCAGATCTTGCTGGGAAAGATTGATGGCTTGCTGAAGCGGCTGGGTCTGGATGCGTAGGCCTGTAACGACGCACTCCGATACAGTTACAGAGAGAGCCATATGTAAATACACGACATATACGGTACACGATATACATAACGCCATGCCACTTACAGGAGCATCGTGGAAAGGAGCAACAACAGGATCGAAAACAATACAATTAAAGATTGTGGTAGATATATGTAATGTGTATATATGGCTATATAGATTGATCTCCCTTTCAGCTTCGGTCTAGGACGTCCAGCAGTCGGGATTGGATGGATTGTTTTTGTGTACCCTCTCTCTAATAAAAAGAGAGAAAGAAACATTGGAAAACAATCGGGCTTGGGCTTTGAGAGTTTCGTAGGAGCGAGAAATGAGAAGAACTATGTAAAGACAATAAAATCTTGCTGTCATCATACAATGGAGAGGAGCATCATGCAGAGAGCGAGGGATGAAGGGGGCGCTAGAGAGACCGGGTGAGTTGTTTTTTGTTCTCTTCGTGGGTAGACAATGAAATGCAAAAAAAGGAATGTGGTGAGAAAGCAGCGGCATTAACATCAGCAGCAGCAGCAGCAACAACAGCAACAGCAACAACAAGAGTCGATTCACAAGGTTGAATCTCCAATCATCTTCTGTTTGGGCCTCTACGGCCAGGAGGTCGGACCAAAAGTGGCACCATCGGGCAGGGGCTGCTGAATGGCGGCCTTGGTGAAGTCGGCCGTCTTGAACACGCCGACGTTGCCGAACCAGTTGGGCGCCTCGGCCAGCGTGAGGTAGAGGGTGAAGAAGATGATGAGGGTCGACACGATGAGGCCGCTGTCGAGGGCGGCCGACGTGACGTAGTTGTACTGCAGCCACCAGCCGTTCCAGCGGCGGCGGATAAAGTAGTTGAAGACGGTGCCGACGGTGCCCCAGCAGAGGTAAATGTACACTGTTGCGGGCGGCAGCCAGCCAGAGCCGCCATAGATGAGAGGCGTGTTGACGTAGCGCCAGATGCTCTTGGGGAAGCGGCGGGCCAGCAGCCAGGTGATGATGGGCGTGATGGCACCGACGATCCAGAAGTACTGCAGGTTGGCGTAGAGGGCCTGGCCGCTGAAGATGCGCTTGGGACCAATGGCACCCCAGATGACAGAGGCCGTGTAAAAGACCTTGGCGTTGGCACACGTGTACGAGTTGGCCTGCTCCTCGGTGCAGACGCCCTCAATGGAGCCGAGAGCCCAGTTCATGACGGCGATCTGGACGATGGCGGACCAGACGGAGGCAACGAGCTGGGAGGCGAACATGGTGCGGGGCGGGACCTTCATGTAGTGGCCGAGCTTGAGGTCTTGGGCAAAGTACAGCGCCTGGGACATGCAGAGGTAGCCGTAGTTCTTGAACATCATCATGGCGAGGGGGCGGCCGGGCAGCATGTAACCGACAATGAACTCGGTCAGGACATTGAGGCCGAGCTGGGTGTTGGTGATGGCCTGGATGATGCCGATGGGGACGGTCCAGACCAAGGGCAGGATCATGCAGACAACGTAGCCCCACCACGGGAAGCCGGTGGGCCAGGCGCACACGACGGCAAAGGAGATGCCCAGCATGATGACAAAGAGGGCACCGTACCACCAGTCCTCGGCGTCGCGGTACTTCTTCATGAGGCGCATGTGCACGTCGTCCTCCTGGTGGCGGGCGAGCTTGAACTGGGACCAAATCTCGGAGCCGTGGTACAAGAAGACGTGGACGATGACGGCGGCGACAGCGGCGAACGACAGGCCGTAAGACAAGGCGAACTGGGTGGAGAGGAAGAGCGGCGAGTAGTTGAAGTACTTCTCGGCGTCAAACTCAAAGTTGGTCAGGATGCGGGTGACGTTGTAGACGGCGCCGGTGTTGTCGAAGGCGCTGGAGCTCTGGACGGGCAGGTGGGCGCCGTACCAGGTGTTGGTGAAGTGCAGGCCGCTCGAGATGATGACGAAGAAGACGACGATGCCAAACATCATGTTGGCAATGGCGTAGAAGGGCGGGATCAGGGGCGACAGCAGGTAGCCGGAGATGATGGTCCAGTCAAAGGACAAGGGGAACAGGCCGTAGCCGGAGAGACCGCCAAACAGCTGGTTGACGATGCGGCTGTTGGGCCAGATCCAGGTGATCCAGCAGAACCAGCTCAGGCCCTGGAAGATCCAGCCGGGGAACCAGTACCAGACAAAGGAGCCGCCAAAGACGATCAAGAACCAGCGGTAGCGACCGACGCTCCAGCCGTTGGTCTTGGCCGGGTCGGAGCCCGAGTGGTCGTGCAGGGTGTAGAAGAGCGCCGCGTTGACCAGGTCGCTGGGCCAGATCATGGCAGCGGGCCACACGAGGAAGCGGCGCGACAGCCCGGCAATGCCGTAGCCCGTGCAGAGCGTGGTGATGCCGAAAAGGATCTGCCAGCCCCAGCCAAAGTACTGCTTGTACCACACTTGCTGGGCGATGATGACATCCGTAGCGTACAGGGCGCCACCACCATAAGCGGCCTGCGAAATGTCAGCGGCGAACGAAAGGAAGAGAAGAGAAACTCTTTTTTTTTTTTTTTTTTTTTTTTTTTTTAAAAAAAAACTAAAAAAAAAGGAAAGGGACTGGGCCTCGAGACTGGCTACTCACATTGGACATAACAACGATAATAACGTGCTCCTTAAAGTTGAATTTGCCGGGGCGCAGGTTGAACTTGAGGCCAAAGAGGTTCCAGACGCGGTCGGGGAAGATGAGATCCCACAGCAGACCGATGGGGTAGGCGACCAGCTGGATCACGTAGGTGGTGACGGAGACACTGGGGTTGCGCAGCGAGAAGAGCATGTTGACGCCGGACCCGACGGTGCACAGAATCAGGCCAATGGTCCAGGCACGGATGGTGTTGGCCGGCAGGTCGACGTCGTAGTTGCGGACGGACGCGCGCACCTCGGGGTACGGCGAGTTGTCCTCGATGATGCCCTGCTCGACGACGAGGCCCTTCTCGACGTTGCCAGTGTTGATGGCGTTGTCGACATCGTTGAGCTCCTCGATGGGCAGGTTGGGGTCGAGGTGGTGCATGCGCTCAAAGTGCTTCAGTGTGTTGAGGGCCTCGGCACCGCTGGCCGTCGCACCGGCCTCCTCGCCGGGCAAATCGTGGCCGTCGACGACTTCGGGCAGAGCATCCTCCTGCTCATGCCGCTTGCGGAGGTTGAACTTGAAACCCATGGCGGCAGAACGGAGACGTCAGTCAATTCAAGCACGCATAACACGGGGGTTGGGTTTCCGTTGGTATGGGGGAGAGAGAGAGACGGATGCTCGCTCGTTTACTGTCTATTCATGAGACAGAATGAGGAGAGATGAAGGGGGAAGAAAGGGAGGGATGGGGTATATAAATGAAAAAAAGAGGGAAGCGAAGAGATAAAGAAGAGACAAAACGGGAAAGTGTAAAAACGAGGCCGGGATACCTCAGATTAAAACCTTAAAAACAAGAGCAGGACCGAAAGGTGAGAGGACAAGACAAAATGGATGATCCCAGGTCACACTGCAGACAACCGAGCATGGGGGGAGAGGCAAAGGTGCGCAAGAGCGGGAGAAGAGAGGGGGGAGGGGGGGGGTCTAGAAAAATAAAGTAGGTGAACTTGATGGGGATACTTTATGGTAAAGGGGGGTGCGCAATAATAGAGGACATGGGGCGGCACGATAGATGTGTCTGCTCCGTATGTCGTACTTGGGCTCTTTTGGCTCAGGATTGTAGAGGACGGCAGCTCTATTGATTAAAAAGGAAGGCGTTTATTGACGTGCACACCCTTTTCTCTTGCATCTTGGCATTTTCTCAAGACAAGCAGACCGAGACAAGGGCGCACAAGAGCGGAAGCGAGACGAGTACCACTGATAACCGAACATGGCCTTTAAGTAATTCCGCGGTTTTTTTTTGTAACGGTCTCCTGAATCTTGTGTTGCTTGTCCGTTGTTTGTCTGTTGCTTCAGGTGTAGATTCGTCTCGCGTGCGCCGGCTGGGTGGGCATGACTGAAGCACCGCAACGAGGCAAAGGGTGGCGGGACCAGTACAGTTGCGGCTGGCACGTGCCAACCGTGGATGATCGTCGGTTTCTCGACTTCTTCCGCCCTCCTCATCAATTTTCCCCAGAGCCCGGTCGATGGAGAGGAGAAACTCGTACGACGTACTCGGTACAGCAGTGACAACGCCCTTTTTGTCGGCCATAAATTGCCGTACCGGCATGCTGGCTTAACGTGAATAAACCAGAGCAGCCGTGGCCAGGGCCGACTGTGCCATTCCGGACTGGTTCAGAACGTGTCTGTGGGTGCATCACGCTGTCGTCTTGCTATACACAAAATATTGTTAGCATCAGACGGGAAACTGTCGTTTCACGTTTAATTTCTTCCTTGACCATCCCCTTCACACCATCCCACCACTTCAACGGCATGCAACGGTGTCACAACCGCCGCTGTCGTACCAGTATATGTCCATGTACTTTTTTGACCTTGCCCTTGTGGCCCATGCTGAGCTTCGCCGATCACGACTTACCTGGGCATGTGGAAAAAGGGAGTTGGGACTTCCTATTCCCAATCACGCGCAGGTGGTGGTCCTGGGCAGCCGAGACAAACAGGAATAAAAGAGAGACAACCTCGAAATGGAAGAAGAAACAGAGGATGCCAGAAATATCATCCCATGTGAGGTAAACCTCAGAACATCAGTACAGCTCGACCAGCATGGAGCTGTCGATAATAGGTTTGCTTCCAACGGCCCGTATACCGTTTCTTCCAACCGTTATTTGACCTTACCGTTCCATAGTTCTGTGGCTTTGTCGCCATCTCGTTTTGCCAACCTCTGTTGCTATCGTATTTTGTTGTTCTGTCGTGTTTGTTATTTCCCACTTTTATTTCCAGCCACGTCGTGAATGCCGCGTGCAAGGTAGCTTGGTTGAACCAAGGGCATATTGCCCCATCTGGAAAACGGGGCGACGCTGTGTCCGACCTGCTTGAGATTCTGTATTTCCACATGAGCTTTAGCTTTGCACTCGTTTGTGTGGTGCATCTCCGCCCCAAGTGGACAAAACGACGACTTGCATTCCCGCGGACAGGACAAGAAGAGGGAAAAGAAAGAACATTCTGAGCAGGGGCAAGCATTGTTGACTTTTGCCAAGAACCTCCACCGCTTTCTTTCGTTTGCCATTTAAGCTCAATGCCACGTCCCACTTCTTCCTGCTAATCATAAACCAGGGATCCCATAAATGCCACTGTGTGCCATCGGCGGTCTTGTCTCGTGCTCGTGGTTGTACCGTGTACCAGCTGAGTTGTATTTTGCCTCGTTTCCGCCTTGTGGCTCTCCCCAGGTTTTGCACAATGACGTCCTGCACGTGTGGAAGTGTAAAATACCCCATCACAGATTTAATCCTCGAGTTAATCACAACGCCTTGTGCACAGCTTCCACGGTTCCGAGTGGTGATCATGAAAGTAGCAAAACCGATCAACAGGGCCAATCACGCCCAGGTTCAAGTTGATCGTCAACAGCCTCCAGATGGATGAAAAGGCCAGCTCGAAGAAACAAAAATTTATGCGTCGTGTGTTTGTGTGCGTCCATGAAGCAGGTGTCGTCGACCTTCCTAAACGAGACACTCACACACTATTGCCGTACGTAGTAAAGTACCGAAAGCCCAATGCCAGCAAAGCTCGGCCCAAGGATGAGAAAGACCAGGCCGGGGCTTACAACCGTCCTGGCCTAGCGACCTTCGAGTTGAGATACATCGTACTAAATTGTGCCGGGACGACGCTGCAAATTTTGCCTCCGCAAGTGTGCGGGTGGCGCTACAACCAAACACAGAACGATGGAGGCTGAGGCAGCGTATGAAGCAACGGACTGCAGACTAGGGCAAACTCAGGAGTCAATTGCAGAGAGGACCGAGTTTGGCGAGCGAGCAGAAATTGGCCAACAGGCCGCGGACGACTGGAGCGACTTGAAGTAGGAACGTTTCTTGGATGCAGAATAGGCTCGAGCATGTACGGGCTAGCACCTCGAAGCTGTGCCGTGTGTCGATTGTTATTTTCCGCTTGCCGTCTCCCGGGCCAGATGGAGCAGTGTCAGTGTGCGGAGAGCAGTGTGCCATAACAGTATGACTCTCTTGTCCCGCTTGTCGAAGTAAATTGCTCAGACTATAGAGCGAACATAAAGCTCTGATGTTTCAAATAGTGAACACGAAAAGTGCCAAATTTTGAGATCTTGGGTAATTTGTTGGGCAATGCTTGGGCTGGGCTTGGGAAATGCTTGTTAGCAGGAGCAATGACAACAAGCATTGGATGTCAGTAGCCAAGTCGGCTTACCAGTGCCGGAATCTGACTTGGCGTATGTCGTTTTGTTAGAAAGTACAAAGGTACGCTGTACGACATGCGGCGTATCGATTTGAGTCCTTGCTTGTGTGAAAGCCAAGAGGCACGGTCGCAGTTGGAAGGAATCTACATCAGGAGGCATGACCTGACCGCATCCGCTATCGTTGAGTCCTATTTGCCAACCACTGAATCGTGCAGCCGACAATTTGACCCGTCCAACGTTACTTCGAGGGAACACATGCTGCATCCTTTTGATCCCGGACAATTGCGCAGAAAACAAGAGTTTCTGAAATGGTTTGCCAAGACCGTAGCAAGTCGAGGCTTTTACGCCTGGAAGGAAAATGGATGTCTCAGACAGCAAAAGCCAGATAGGGGCAGCATGGCGTCCTGCTAGTGCTGTTCAAGAAGGTTGGAAAGGAGGAAGGAAGAAGGGAGGGGTCAAAGGCTGTCATTGGACTGTGGCTGGCAGAGGAAATTGCCCAAATTACCTGATGGGATACTCTGATGTCGAACAATTCTCATATTCAATCCACGGGGCTGATACGGTAACGTAGCGAGAACCAGGCAAACAGGGTGCTCAAACCTCGTACGTGTGCAGTGGTACTATGCACCACACTTCTTCGTTTTCGCGGGCTATTATCCCTTTGCGTTGTTGATTTTCAAATTGATCGGCATTGCTCCGACGCAGACTTGCCATAGTTGCAGACCGATTCGCTCGCCACTGCTATCAGTGAAACAGACTGGCCGTGACCTGCAGAGAAAGTGCCCGTATCTGGCATGAATTTTTGGGCTGAGGCAGTCTTCGTCTTGACGCTTTGCTTAGGCCTGCTTGGCAGCAGATGGGAGGATAGACACTGTAAAATTTATACTTCCGATAGAAAGAACGTCGGGAATGTGCCTGACTGCTTTGTGTGAGCCGTTTGGAGACAAACTACCAGTGTTTTGCTGACCTTGTAGCTGGGTTCATTACCACAGGAATTGACGCTCTTTGCAAAAGAACCCGATATGCATACGAACAGTAAGCCAACGGCGAGGGGGAAACACACCTCGATGCTTCTCTTCACGGAAGGCCCATCTTAAAAGCTCTTCATACCCGTAGTAAACGGTGCGGTTTCGCCCGACTTTGGCGTTTTGTATAAAGGCCCACTGCATCAGCCTCGGTTCATAAATTCTGCACTAAGACCCGGGTCAAATGGCAGAAGCAACAGCGCTGTTTCTGGTCAAAAGGGGAGGCAGATAAGGCTGGTAAAATGGTTATCGATTGGTGGTGCAAGACCTACATGGTGCAGGGTCTTATGTGATCATCTTATTTTCACCGCGGAAAGATGACAGCAGCGAAGCGCAAGCTGAATCTATCAATTCGCTCGCCAGCTCGTTGGCTGTCCTTTGTTTTCTGATTTCCTCTTGTGGGCAAGCGGAGGATCAAAAGAAGCGCAGGAAATCGTCGTGGACACACGGAAGCGGTGTCTCCTTAAGCCACTTCGATCGGCAACTAGCAGATTGTGTGTGGGTGGAGACAGATGGGGGCTGGCGAGCCATGGTTGGCTGTGCATCTCCGTCGCTTTCGCGGAGTGTTGGCACTCTGTGGGGCTGCATGAAAAGGAGTGAACGAGGTAAAATTGTTGCGTGCCCTGCTTCTTCGTCTCCTCGGACCGCTGAGTTGTTCCACTTTCCTCCACCTCGTGTCACTAACACCTTGACGACGGATAGTAATCAGAGGTCTGACATGGGTGGATCAGAAGTTGAAAAACGCCAGTCTCACCATACAGCGCAGTTGGGATGTTGTGCAGTTCCTTTGGAAGAGCCCTGGACCGCTCGTGAGCGATGCCGTCCAGCGATGTGCGACGTTTTTGTACTTCATATTATTTTGTTAGTTAAAA